GCTCACCTGAGCCCTGCCCGCTGGCCTCCTCCGGCAGCTCCTGCAAGCTCAGCCGCCACTCCAGGGGGGTGTCGCAGGGGGTCACGGTCACGGACAGCGGGGTGTTGTCCTCTTCCACCACAAAGAAGTACCTGCGGGCGAGGGGCCATCAGTCAGACGGGGGTCCACTCTGCCGCCCCAGCCGGGCTCACGGAAAACCACAGGCTGATGCCACGCATTTCACAGGGACTGGAGCCGGCCATCTGCACGATCGCGGTGCTCTCCCATGAACCGCGGCGTCCACCCGCCAAGCAACCAGCTCTGCCCGCAGCACCGCGTGGAAGAATGAAAAGACGCTGAGCTAAACGTGTAATGTGGGTGCACCTTGAGTGAGGAACCAACACTTGGCTCTTTGGGGTGCTATTTAGCCTGGGCCCCGCCATTCCAATCAGGCACCGCCGAGGAACCCGCAGGCATGCTGACCGGCAGGCACTGTTTTCCATACGCTGGCGACAGGCTTGTAAGGGACCCCGAAGGCACCCTGACAGTCACCCGCCGTTTCAAACGCTCCCTCGCCCAGCGGCGTCTCTGAAAAGCCTGCTGGTCTCTGCGAGAGACGCTGCGAGAGACGCTGCTCGCTTCTCACATCAGCGACCCTGGTCCACGGATCTAGCGGCCGCAGCTTTTGCATAAAGGGACCTAATCCCACTTGAGAAGATTTTAAAAGTAAAGATCAAAGTTTCAATCGGTGGAAAGACTCATTCTCTGCCTCTAAGACTTCCTGTTGGAATGAAATAACCTAGTGATTTTTAAGACAAATTTTAAAAATCGGATCATCCTGCTCCCTGCTTCCCCCGATTTTGTTACGAAGCCTCGAGTGACTTTTCAAGGAGGACAGACACGTGGCCCGGCTGTGACAGTGCCGCGTTCCTGCTCTGAGTAGCACGATGGTTCTGCCCACCGTTTCAGAGCCCGGAGCCTCGCCTGAGGCCAGAGCCCAGAGCTGCTCGATGCCCACGCACAGCCTACCTAGGGGTCCCCTCCTGCACCCGCGCCCGCACCTCCGGGGCCTCCTCCCTTGTGTTCTCCCATGGCCACCCCACACCCTCTCCAAAAGGACCACCAGGTCTTCTACTCCGTCTGTCTCCTCTGTGGCTCCCTCTTACCTTCCAAGCCCTTGGTCACCCAGGGACAGACAGGGCCTGTGGCTGCACCCCTGCCCTCCGCCTGTGTGCACCCCTGCCCTCCGCCTGTGTGCACCCCCTCCACCTGTGTGCACCCCTCTACCTGTGCTCACCCCCTCTACCTGTGCACACCCCCTCTACCTGTGCACACCCCTCTACCTGTGCTCACCCCTCTATCTGTGCTCACCCCTCTATCTGTGCTCACCCCTCTATCTGTGCTCACCCCTCTATCTGTGCTCACCCCTCTATCTGTGCTCACCCCTCTATCTGTGCTCACCCCTCTATCTGTGCTCACCCCTCTATCTGTGCTCACCCCTCTATCTGTGCTCACCCCTCTATCTGTGCTCACCCCTCTATCTGTGCTCACCCCTCTATCTGTGCACACCCCTCTACCTGTGCTCACCCCTCTACCTGTGCACAGCCCCCTATCTGTGCGCACTCCTGTGTGACCGCACTGGGCTCATGGTTTCTCCTCTTCTACGTGAACCATTCCCAAATCTCAACTGTCAGCCTGAACTCCGACCTCAATTTGAGGCACAGCTATCTCCTGCCACCTTCACTGAGATTTCACTGGGAGTGTAAACTTACGGTGTCGAACCCGAACTTCTGATTCCCACCCCAGTGAGCTCCTCCTGCGGTCTGTCCCTGCTCATGCGTGACCCCGACCTCTCAGTCAGGCACTCAGGACAGAGTAGGATCGTTCTTGCTCCTCCGTCCTCTCCCTCCGTGTACCTGACCCAGACACCGCTGGCTCTGCCTTTACAATGTCCCCGAACCGTCACTCTGCTGCACCTTCCGTGCCACCCTCCCGCCCCAGCCGCCCTCCTCGCCTGAGCCCCGTGGTCCCTTCAACTGGTCCTTTTTGCCCCCTGGACTCCCTACTCATTTACCCCCTCCCAGGGGCGGTGATCCTTGAACACCCGTAAGCACATGCCACTCCCCCTGCTCTAACCCCCCAAGCGTGTGTCTCCTTTCATTTAGAGTAAAAGCCACAGCCCGACCGGTGTGGCTCAGTGGTTGAGCGTCGGCCTATGAACCAGGAGGTCAATTCCCGGTCAGGGCACAAGCCTGGGATATAGGCTCAATCACCAGTAGGGGGCATGCAGGAGGAAGCCGACCAATGATTCTCTCTCATCACCGATGTTTCTAGCTCTCTCCCCCTTCCTCTGTGAAATCAATAACAATAGACTTTTTTTAAAAAAAATAAAGAACACCACAGAGCAGGGCACTGGTGCACTTGGGAAATCAAAATCACTTTTAAAGAAAAATTCTGACTCACTCAAAGATTTTAAGAGACAAAATAACTCGAAAAGCAAATGTGTCCGGCAAGAATTCAGCTGAGCCCTAACCAGTTTGGCTCAGTGGATGGAGTGTCAGCCTGCAGACTGAAGGGTCCCAGGTTCCATTCCCATCAAGGGCATGTACCTTGGTTGCGGGCACATCCCCAGTAGGGGGTGTCCAGGAGGCAGCTGATCGATGTTTCTAACTCTCTATCTCTCTCCCTTCCTCTCTGTAAAGAATCAATAAAACATATTTTAAAAAAGAAGAATTCATCTGGAAATAATTCAGCTGAGCGACTAGGTGTTTCCCATGCCCTGTTCTGTTTCACAGTCTGAGCCTGGTAAATGGAAGGACATCACATCTGCAATGTCGTCGTCCTTGCATTTGGGGCCTTCACTCTTGAGGATGTCATTAAAGGGATCGTGGTTCTTTTTATTTTACTGGCGGGTCAGCTCCTAATCTATCACATCCATTCAAACAAATGAGGTGATTCAGGCAGCGCTGAACTGATGCCCAGGCCATAGGCCGCGTCCGTCAACATAGGAAAACCAATCCCCTGCTACTGTTCTTGGACCAGACGGTGACATGCCACGTGGGCCACGGTGGGAGGGAGCACCTCCCATTGTCACTGTCAATCAAAACTGAAGTGACAAGAGAAAGATGACCCAACGATCTGCTGCACCTCAATCTCTGAACAAGGAGTCACTGGTGGTGAGACAGTCTTTCCCTTCAGAATGTCCTAGTGCCCCAGCTAAAAGGAGAAACTTTCCTGAAATAGGGCTGAGAGGGGTTTGAGGTAACGAAAAGTAACTAACTTTACATATAACTAGCTTAATGAAGGATATACACATATATACTTAATTATGTAACATACTAGAGGCCCGGTGCACAAAATCATGCACGGGTGGGGTCCCTCGGCCTGGTGGGTGATCAAGGCCTATCAGGGGGCTGGCTAGCTGTGGGGAGAGGCTGTGGGAGCACACTGACCACCAGGAGGCAGCTCCTGCATTAAGCATCTGCCCCTGGTGGTCAGTGCATGTCATAACGACTGGTCAACAGGTTGTTAGGCTTTTATATATATATATATAGACGTGTCATTTTTAAAGGTCAGAATGTTTAGAAGCACTGCGTGAGCCCAGTTTGATGAGGCTGGCATGAAGGTAGATGCACAGGGTCCATTTTTATCACTGTTGGGTTTGATGCTTTCAAACTCTGATGATATCGGTCAAAGTCATGTTATCCTTCTAAGGCTAACTGCACACCTTTGAAGAATCATGTGTGTTCATGAATCTCATTTCAATCAGGGAGAGCCCTCTTTAGAAATTTCCCTCTGTCCTGAAGGAAAGAAAGCAATCGTTCCAAAGGTAAGAAATGCAAAAATCGCCCTCCACCCAAACGGTCACCATGTTCGGGAATGGGAGCCCCCACGGAGGATGGGCAGTGGCTCCCCATTTTTCCCGCTGAGCGGACACGGGCCAGGCCGCCCAAGGTTAACCACAAAGCGCCCGGGCACAGCGTGTTGGCTGACACCCCGGTGAGCCTGCGGAGAGGAAGGTGTCGGGGGTACCTCTTAGGCGTGTCTCGGAAGAGGTAGCTGCTGATCTCAGCTCCGTCCGGGAGCACCGAGGAGTCGTGGAAGAAGGCCTTGTCGCGGACCTGCATCTGGAAGAGCTCCTCGTCGCGCGTGGGCAGCTTCTGGGCCCGCGGGCCGAGCGGGAGCAGCAGCCACAGCAGCCACAGGGGCAGGGGCGCCATCCTGGGGGACAGGAAGTGGCAGGTCAGCGCTGCGGGCAGACAAGGGGGGCAGGTTCCCACTGCAGCTCTGGCTGAAAGTTAGGGCCGCCTCATGCACTTCGGATCACACACCTGATCCTGACAATGACTTCGCTGGGTTTTCCCCCCAAAGTGCAAGGTGCCCCCCAAAAATGTCCACCTGCTTTAATGGCTGGTCGCTCAATGTGGAAATGAGATGTATCTTAATACACCTGGCCTTACCCATTATTCAAAGGGTGCGCATACATTTTTGGGGAGACCTGTGTGTCCTGGAGGTGGTAATGAACGCACTAGAACTTCAGGTAGTCAAAGGGCCGTGAAAGGAAAGGGCCCGTGGAGTGGTGACCGCCCTGGGTGCTCAGAGAGGAAACCCCACGTCACAACGGCAGGAGCCCGTGTGGTCCCTGCAGGCACCTGTAGACAAATGTCTCAGAATGACACAGACTGTGCGTCGCTCAGGGCCAGGAAAGGACCAGCCACAATTATTTATTCATTTACTGATTTTAGAGAGAGTGGAAGGGAGGGAAGGAGAGGGAGGAAGGAAGGGTGAAAAGGAGAGAGGGAAGGTAAGAGAGGGAGAGGGAGGAGAGGGAGAGGAAAAGAGAGAGAGAAAGAGAGAGAGAAAGAGAGAGAGAGAAACATTAATCAGTTGCTTCCTGAATGCATCCCAACCAGGGCTTGCATGTGAAACCTGCGCCTGTGCCCCGACTGGGAAGCGAACCACCACCCTTTCCATGCACAGGATGACGCTCCAACGAATGGGCCCTGCGGGCAGCGCCCTGCACAACAGTTTTCTTTTTCTTTTTTTTTTTAAAAATATATTTTATTGATTCTTTACAGAGAGGAAGGGAAAGGGATAGAGAGTTAGAAACATCGATCGGCTGCCTCCTGCACACTCCCTACTGGGGATGTGCCCGCAACCAAGGTACATGCCCTTGACCGGAATCGAACCTGGGACCTTTCAGTTCGCAGGCCGACGCTTTATCCGCTGAGCCAAACGGATTAGGGCATGCACAACAGTTTTCATTCTTCCTCGTCGTCTGACGCAGCGTGGTCCATGGGCAGCAGCATTCTTACTCCCAAACGCAGGTTCTCACAAACCTGGGCTTTCTGGTGATCAGGCTGAACCTGCTCACAGGTAAAGCTGCTTGTCCAGCGTCACCGGGCGTGCCCTCGGCCGGCCTCGTTGTTGCAATTACCGGACTCTGGACGGGACGTGTACATGCAACCGTTCCGGAACCAGAAACCGGGCTTGATTCCCTGTCTTGGGTCGAGGGAGCCCAGCACAGTTGCTGTGGCCTGGTCATGCCCTGTCAGTGAGTCACTCTGTGGCACGTGGCACGGGCTTTTAGCAGAGACCCCAAGAGTCATTACGAATCGTCCAGAGCCACCGCCCATGGCTGCGGGGACGCTGCCAAGGACACCACCGCCCAGTGTCCCCGACGCAAAGCCCCACGCAGGCAAGTCCTATCCGTGTCGGGTATGGGAGGTGCCGCGCTCTCGCAGACAGAACTCCCGAGAAGGGTCTCCCTCATCCTGTGCAGCCGGCGCAGGGCTGCAGCGTTAGGGAGACGGCGTTTACACACATTAGCACTTTAAACAGTGGGAGGCCAAGGCACATGCCTGCCATCACCTACAGCAGCGGTTCTCAACCTGTGGGTCGCGACCCCTTTGGGGGTCGAACGGCCCGTTCACAGGGGTCGCCTAAGACCATTGGAAAACACATATATAATTACATACTGTTTTTGTGATTAATCACTATGCTTTCATTATGTTCAATTTGTAACAATGAAATTGGGGGTCACCACAACACGGGTCGCGGCATTAGGAAGGTTGAGAACCACCGCCTTACAGGGAAGTGAGGGCCAGCGCTGTTTCCAGTCACTCCTGCAGCCCAGCCTGGACGCAGCCCCTCCGGCTGTGTGTCCATCTTCCGCTGAGTGCGATTAGAGACGGGCCCGACAGTGAGATAACCCGGGAAGGGAATGGCTCTTCTAGATGCAGCGTGAGATGTAGCTCTGCAGGGCGCTCGCTCACCACGCACTGTAACTTCTTTTTCCCAGACAATGGTTCCTGCCTGCGCTCTGCGTCTCCCCAAGTCTCTGCAGCACCGAGTCCCCTGCGCAGCTGGACGCTCACCACTGCGTTCCTGCGCCCAGTCCCCACGATCACTAGTGAAGCGGGTGCTGCTCTCACACAAAACCACCTCCGTCCTGGTCAGCAGAGAACAGGGGTAGGCCCAGGGGCATCTGACCGCAGAGCCCGGCGTCCAGCCGCTACAATCCCTCAGGAGGTTGTGATGACTTCTTACAGAAGGCCCCTCTGCCCCCCCTCATTCTCAGGCACTGCGACGGGTGGAAACAGGAGCAACAGCTAACACGCTCGCCCCCCTTCCAGCTCCTACCGGACGGGGCACCCTAGGTACCACTTCACCTCTGTGGACCTTGATTTTCGGAAGGATTCAGGCAGGTGACCTCTGAACTCTGAAAACGAGTGATGATTCGACTGGTGCTAATCTCCTCCCCGACTAGTTAGCAGTTTGGCAATAAGACCAGGCCACAAGTGCCCTAAACTACTGTCCGCAGCCACCGGGCGACGCCAGGGCGCAGCGCCGGGAAGGCAGGCTGAGAGCGGGCGCTCGCGTGAGCCGTGCCTGCAGACAAGGGTCCTATGGACAAAGGACAGCTGGACGCATCAACATTAAATGCAGGGGACCCACATGAACCGAATAGGAGCTGAACTGGGGGGACCTCCTCTCACAGCCCTCAGCCCCTCCCCGCTGCTGCCCTCATCCCATCCGAGCAGAACTGGACCCAGCCCTCCGTCAAGAAGCACTTACTTGAGCACAGGAAGCGTTTCAGCGCACACAGCAGTGGCTCCCCGGACACTCTGCCTCCTGATCCTGAAACCCTCTCCCTAAGGGGCCAGGATTTGCTGTCGCACTGACAGGGACTTGGACCAACACGCCCCTTGGCCCCCGTGAGTGTGACAGCCATGGCGCCTTTGCCCTAGGACCACTCCGGGCAAATAAGAAGCCCCGTGAGGCCCACAAGGTGGTCAAGAGCCCAACACCCCGGACAGCGGAGCCGGGCCAGCTGCCCACGCCCCTGGGCATCTGGGAAATGCAGGTCAGCCCCGCGGTTAGAGAGCTGGCCGGCTGTGATGGTGGGGAATTTCCCAGCATCCTCGGCGGCCCTGGGAAACACTTTCTCTATCAAATCAGCTCATTGTAAGAGATGGATTTTGAGTTAGTAACAACATTAATAAATTTTGTGTACACACTGCATGCCACGCACTCTTCTACATGCTGTACATACATGATCTCCTGTGATGCTAGCAGCTACCCTGCCATGTGGGCACTGTAATTTTTCTCCTTTCTAGAATGGTCAAACTGAGGCATGGACAGCTAAGACCCCGGAGCGAGAACTATGAACTATTTATCAGGAGTGACTTTAAACATGTGGTCAATATTGTTAGTTATAGTCTCCTCATCAGCTACTTAGTAATTTACTATTTAGTGAGGTGGGCAACCGCGGATGGTAAGACTATGCAGATAGGTGTTGAGACAGTTCCCCAGGGGCCTGTGAGCTGGTTTTTGCATCTCCTGGGAGCAGAACAGGCTGCCGTTATGCGAGATTATCTTCTCCAGGATGTCTGTGTAGGGAGGAGCCTCGGACGATAAAGCCTCCGGAGCAGAGAGCAGGCACGATCGCTGCCCACTATGAAGTGTGTGGGTTCCCCACTCGTGCCCTGCTGGTGGGAATGCAGACTGGTGCAGCCACTGTGGAGAACAGTATGGAGTTTCCTCAAAAAACTAAAAATGGAACTCCCATTTGACCCTGTGATCCCACTTCTAGGAATATATCCCAAGAAACCAGAAACACCAATCAGAAAGGATATATGCACCCCTATGTTCATAGCAGCACAATTCACCATAGCTAAGATCTGGAAACAGCCTAAGTGCCCATCAGCAGATGAATGGATTAGAAAACTGTGAATTCTTACCATTTGCAGGAGCATGGAGGGACCTGGAGAGTATTATGCTAAGTGAAATAAGCCAGTCGGAGAAAGATAAGTATCACATGATCTCACTCATTTGTGGAATACAATGAACAACATAAACAGATCCAGAGACACAGAAGCATCGATCAGACTGACCAACCTCAGAGGGAAGGTGGGGGGTGGGTGGTTAAGAGATCCACCAAAGGACTTGGATGCATACATGAGCATGACCAATGGACATAGACAGCAGGAGGGTGAGGGCATGTGTTGCAGGGGTGGGACTGGCCGGGGAGAGGTCAATGGGGGTTGGGGGGAAGGAGGCATATGTAATACTCTAAACAATAAAGCATTTTAAAAATAATAAATAAATAAAAATAAATAAGGAGTGGGTTCCCTGGACTCAGGGCATGCCTCTCTCGCAATAAACGCACCACACAGGCTGGTGCCATCTGGCCCTTCTGCGCCCGCCCCTGAGAAGTGGGGGCCAGGGAGCCGGTGGGAGAAGATGCTGATACTGTGGATTCCGCCGCCGCTCTGAGAACGAGGTCCCTTATCTCTGACCCAGGAGTCTGGTCCGCCCAGCTCCCAGAACACGCTGGCAGGCTGACTCGGTAGCTTGCAAGCAGGCTGGAATCTCAAATCTCCACAGTTCTTGACTCCAAGCATTTACGTATTCGTTTCGTTACTAGCTTGTCAACGTTACTGGCTCTGCGGACACTGCTATTTAGATCACCACCAATGGGGATAGACTCAACTTTACCGTTTGCTTTCTTTATGTGAAACATCTGCTTTCCCAGCTGACATTCTATCAGTTCAAACTTTTTATTTCTGAAACAATTTTAACCATTTTGTCACATCAATCCTGGGCAGACGGGCTCTAGAGAAGAGTCTGACGCCTTTTGTCTTTCTCCTCCATTTCCTTTTATTGTGTGTCTCTGAGAAGAGGGGTGTTGGCCGACCCTCCTGTGGTGGCCACTTCACACTCAATGGAAGTCCAACCATCATGGTCTATGCCTTAAACTTATACGGTGATGTATGTCCATTACTTTTCAATAAAATTCCAAAAAATTAGCATAATCCCCGTACACGACTTTATACCCAATAGGAGTATAGTTTCCAAAATGTTGTGGAATAACATTCATTTATTGTTGGGGGAAAATGTAGTCAGGTATTAGAGGAAGTTAATCATTTATTCAATTAGATCAGTTTATGGGCAAGTTATTTTTAACAAAATGTATTTAAAAGAAGCACTGAATAGCCCTAGCTGGTTTGGCTCAGTGGATACAGCGTTGACTTATGGACTGAAGGGTCCTGGGTTCGATGCTGATCAAGGACACGTACCTCGGTTAAAAGCTCGATTCCCAGGCCTGGTTGGGGCGCATGTGGGAGGCAACCAATCGGTATGTCTCTCTCACATCAATGTTTCTCTCTCTGTGTCTCTCCTCCTCCCTTCTACTCTCTCTGAAAATCAATAGAAAAATATCCTCGGGTGAAGATTAACAAAAAGAAAAGAAAAAGAAAAAACAAGAAAAGAAAAAAATCAACAAAAAAACATATTTTTAAAAATAAAAGCAGCATTGAATATAGCTCATCAAAAAGGTATTATACAGACATACTGTACCTATTTTTACAACTTATATTCAATGATTCACACTTAAAGCTTTCCTTATTCTCTTTTATAATTTCTCTTTATTGTTGACAGTGATACAGATGTCCCTCTCGCCCCCACCACACACACACACCCTCCACCTGCTCCCGCCCTCACCCCAGGCCTTCACTGCACTATTGTCTGTCCATGAGTTATGCATCTGTGCATATAAATTATTTGGTCAGGATGGTTTTAAGATTTTATAGATTCTTCCCCCCAACCAGTAAAATACTTCATTCAGCTGGGGAATAAGTCACTGTGAAGAAATAACGGAAAGCAGTGCTTAGGAGTCAGCCTTGGGCAAGCCAGTCCATGAGAACAGACCTTTATTCTAAGATTACAAAAGTGCCCTCTAATGGCTCGACTTGTCCTCTCATTTCTCTTTGTGACTGGGCAGACTCCAGAGCTCATCTCCGTTAAAGTTTAAATTGAATAACGTGTCTCAGCTCTTCTATGTGGACAGCATTTCCTGTGTCCTGCACCTGGGGTGGGGGGCGTCTGGGGAACATGTCCACCCACGGAGACCTGGCCATCTTTCTCCGGTCAAGAGGCCAGCTCCCACCAGAGTGGGAAGTTGCTGGGGTGACTCCAGAGGTTTTAACTTGCTGGGTGGGTCCACGGACTTGGCGCCCAGGGACCCCCAGCCCAGAGATGGGGGTCTCGGTGGTGTTCTCGAGTTACTGAGACGGCCGCCTTGGACAGTCGTGGGGAAGCTCTGAGGGGCCGAGCCACAGGTGCTGATTGGACACTGGCCTTGTCCTGCAGTCAGAGGCCGGCACGTCGGACACACCTGCAGGTCCTGCCGAGACCACGGGTCTGACACAGCTCAGTCTTCAATCGACACGGTTCATAATCTAGGCCGTGGTGATGCGAGTTGGTTTTACCTTCGGATTTCCAACGTGTCCCAGGTGAAGGAGCGGGTGTTTGTGGAATGTCATTGTCCCTGGACAGACCACGTGTCCGGCGGCACTTACAGAGGGTGAGAGAGGGCTAGACGCCGGAAGGTCAGTCAATGAGATTCGTTTGGATGATACACACACGTCTAAGGTCAAACCATTTGGGAGCATTACCTGAGTCCAATGAGTCGACTGGTATGTGTGTTGCCGCCTCTCTGGCGAGCGAGCAAGCACCCAGCTCAGAGGCGTGGAGAGGGCTTTGTTGGGAATGTTTTGGGACCGGGAGGACTGGACGTGTCACCTGTCTGTCACCTTCTCTGCTGTGCTCTCGCCCCTACCCCCCCCCGCCCCCGGGGAAAGTGATGCCTGTGGCCTGTGGGGACGGAGTGAAGATCCACTGCAGAGGGAAGGCAGCGAAGACTCGGGGAGCACCCTCACTGTCCCCCAGGAAGCTGGTGGACGCCCGACAGCAGACAACAGCCCGCAGGCTGTCAGCGCTAACCGACCTGCTATCCTGTGCGGCCTTCTGTGAAACTAAGAGAAACAGGAGGCCGGCGGGCAGCCCTGCCCCCACCCCCGGGGGAATGCTGAAAACGGGGAAATGCAAGGAAAAGGTAAAGGAAGCTGGGACACTTTACCAGGTGTACCCCCACCCCACCCCTGGGGGACGGGCTCTAGCACCTCGGAAAACTCAGATGCCTGCAAGCACATTAACCTGCCCCAGGTGTCTGCGGCAGCCACACTCGGTCGCTTTGCAACATTCACCTTGAATTACACAAGGTCGGCGGGTCAGTTTACCATCATGGCTAACCTTCTGGTTCACTTAGTGAAAATGCAAAATTATTATTTGAAATGATGCAAACAATGATAACAGGGAAGTGAATCCGGTTACTTTACCTCTTTCCTTATGTTTTTATTGATTTTTAGACAGAGGGAAGGGAATCGGACAGATAGAAACATGATGTGGTCATCGATCAGCTGCCTCCTGCACCCCCCCCCATTACTGGGGATCAAGCATGCGCCCTGACCAGGAATCGAACCCCAGACCTCTTGATCTATGGGATGATGCTCAATCCACTGAGCCACACCAGCCAACTAATCCACCTCTTTAAACATATATTAAATGATGAAACTACAAATCCTAATGGAGACACTTCAGGGGAGGGAAAGTTTTCAGCCCCTGAAAACTTGCCTTTAACATACAGGGACTGCTGTTCAGTTACGTGGCCTCATAATGTAAGGACCTTGCCAACCGGGTTTCCTGTAACCGTCCTGGCTCTCTGAACAGAACGGTCTCCTGGATTCAGGGCCTGGCGACCACTGTCCTCACCGTCCAGCCTCAGAACAGCAGCCACAGCCATG